ACCGGTAGCCACCGTGGGATGAGAGCGATTTGATCCAGCTTATGCCAAACCGAAACAGCACATTTTTTTACTATTGGCTCGATTATGTGAAAAATGATTTTTGCCAATGCAATCACCACTGTGGGATGTTGGACCTCCGGAGACCTTTGTGTGACTGCAATAAGTCGGGATGCAAGCTGTTCGATGAATCTAGAGGCTGTGTTGCCTACATCAGCAGTACGCTGGACCCAGTAGGGCGGCCCCCGGTCATTCCGGAAGCGTTTTAAGCAACCGAGGTGGCCACTGATGCGACTATCAATCTTTGCTGCGGCTTCGGCATGCTTTACATCAGCCATAACTTGGAACCCTTTGATGGCATTTGATGGGGCTTGTTTGAAGAATCCCAAGTCTGTGATGAGCACTTTGGCACCCGGAACCTCTGTAGCCAAACCGGTCACTCTTCGAAGATTTTCTGCAACCGACGTGATACCAAAGAACTTTACGAGAACCCATTTAACCAAGCTCTTAACCATTTCTGCAAAAAACTTTCGATACAAGCTAACAACAACTCGCTCGATGATAACGATAACAGGCTTCAATGGTCCTAACATTTTCTTAACTAGAATGTATAATTTGAGTAAACGAAGAGCAGATGATTACAAAGTTATATCAAGTATCAAATGCATCAGCTTTTGTAGTTCTTCAGGATCAACAAAAAGGAAATATAAGTTAAGCAATTTCAGAAAAGAAAACTTCAATTACCCAAAATGGAAAATTTCTTGAGGCAGAACTCAACTCACCAATTCAGAATGCTGGACATTACTAGACACACCTTCAACAGCCGGGACGGAGCCGGAGGAGATCTGCTCGAGGAATCCGTAGGAGGTATGCACATCCACAGTCATTCCTAAAGCATTTCGGGCGGAACAGATGACTTTGGATAAAATCTACTTTGTAACACTCAAATTTAATGAAATTAGGGACTAAATTGAAAGTTCCGGAACTTTGCAGCCTATATTTGAACTTTTAGGGAGTTTAGGGACTACTTAGAATTATTCCATTTTTTCTTATCCGTGAAAAATAAAAAGGAAAATACCCTAAATTTGTGAAATCAAATTCCTAAATCCCTCAACCAAAACCTCGCTGGTCTCCCCAAATCTTCATCGTTCGGCCACCGTTCGGTCCACTACTACCCCCGTTTAATTCTTCGTTGAACGGTGACCAAAATCCCTCCATCATCCCGTCGTGAAACGATGTGTAACATCATGAAACGATGTGTAACATCGTGATTTTAATCGCAAAGCTTCGACAAAATAACCTAACCACGTCGCTGTTATTTTCATCGATTTCGGCCTATTCAACAACCATCTCGCCTCACTGCCATCAATAACTTGTTCCCCAGCTTGTTCCACACAAAACCCGACCCAAGGTGTTTCCCATCGTCGTGTTTTCGGTCTGACATTTGACCGTTGACTTTGACCAAAAAAAGTAAATTTTCTGAAAAGTCATATTTTATGTTTTTCAACGTCTTGAGTCTAAATCCGAAGTTTGTTTTGCCAAATTCGCACTCGGTGAGCCATTTTTCAGTATTTTATCTTCAGAATCAAATTTGGTTTTTCAATTAAGTTCAAATTCTGATGTAAATTCATTTTCTATGTATATGAGAGAATATGGGATGTGGAATTAAAGTTTGAAAGCGATCAAATGGAGTTTAAATCGTCGATCGATATGGCTTGTAAATTGAGTTAATACTCTACTATCTTTTGTATGCTTTTCGGAACACATTGATAATGGGTAAATGCATGAATGGAAATGATTGGTCAATTAGGTGTATTTAATTATCATTGGACTCAAACTGAATATAGAATAAAGGCAGAACATTGTAAAAGACTCAGACAACTCGTAAAAGAAATAAGTAAACCGACCAGAAATAATTCTAAGTTCATGGATTATGTAGTAATAAATTGATATCAGAATCCAAAATTATGATTAATTTCTTCCAAGGTTAAATGAGGGGAATACTTGATTAAGAAATTACAAAAATAACTTTACGGAGTAAAATTACAAAAATGTCATTTTACAGTAAAAAGACCAAGATTGCCTTTGAAAGTGAAAAATAATCCAGAAATGACATATCTGACCAATTATCAGTAAAAGTGCATATGTTTGGATTGAAAAGAATTATCAAAATGTCATCGAGTTGTGAAATAACTAAAATAAACTCTTATATTCAAATGACTATATTATATGACCAAGTTGAACTAAGTGGAAGTATTGTATGTATCCAAATTGTGGGAATGAATGAATTACTCTGGAAACTCTAAAGTGACAGGGATAAACTTACCTAATAAATGACTTAGGTACCCTCAAAGACCTAGAATTAAATGAATGACATAGATAAGTCGGTAAACGCTGGTGAACCTATATGTTGTACCGTTCATAAGGGTTTTGAACCAAGAATCAAGCACGCCGACATTTCTAGATACCGTTGCAATACAGAAATGAAATAAATACCATTGGAATACCAGTTCGTATCCCTAAGATCCATTCAACGATGATTCTGATGATGATTAGTTTACAAGAGTTGTCAGTATTAAAGTGTGAATACCCTTGAAGTACATTGATTTGAACAATTGACAGGCATCAGAATGCTTGGATTTGTTCATTTCGAGTTAACTCAATATCCTGATAAATCAACACGAATCTTAAATACCATGAATCATCGTTTCACCCTTATTAGATCAAATTACTAAGAATTCTATAAGAACCAAATGTCAAAAATACCCCAGATTTCCTAAATAATGGAATCACTCCTGTCATACTTGAAATCTCAATGTACCTCTGATGCAAACGATTCTGAATATCTTTTTGATTACTTAGTGCCTCCGAAAATACCCAAATACTATATGATATTGATAAACTACTTCCAGAATGACTAATGAATTCGTCAGCTATCAAACCCATTTTATATAGGGATCTCATTTCTGAATTTAAGCAGTTTGCAGACGTTTCGTGTTTCCCCCACTTGATAATTGCTAAGTACCTCTGGAAAATAATTGGATCCTCTAGTGTGTTCCCTATGTACTACATGATTGTTTTATCTGTTTTAAAATGTGTTTCACCGAAATTTATGAGTTACTGATTTATTGGCTTATGATGGCTACATGGTATGTGCTCTCTTACTACCGTTTTCACTGGAAAATATAATCGTTCTTGATTTATGGATCATAGGATCTATTGGTTACTACTTGAACTATTTTATTGGGACATTATCTGGGTATGCTGAAGTATGGAGGTTCAGCTCTGACAAAACTGGTAATTCCTTACGGACCTAAGAAGACCTTGGGTCGGCTTTAAGGCCCCAAGGCACTCCCTTGGGTAAATCATGGTACTGCATATGGTGTACGGGTGGAGGGCAGTTATGTGGTTTATTTCGTGGTCACTCTTACGAGATTTTATTGGATCACGATCTTGATATTTATTGTTACTATTAAATCTGATTTCTACTGGATATTATATGGGTAGGATTTTGGAGTATGGAGGTTCAACTTTGATCAAGTTGGTAATTCCTTACAGACCTAAGGAGACCCTTAGGTAGGCCCATAGGCCCCAAGGTATTCCCTTAGGGTGGCTCCTTTGCTGTGTGCTTAGGGTAAGTCCTTATAGATGCAGTTATGGGGAACTGTATTTTGGTGTTCGGTTGGAGGGTTTTATTATGGTTTTAAAAATATGTTTTAAATTGTTATTGTTTTAAAAAGATCTGTACCTTGTAACTAGTTGGGAACACACTAGACACCTTATTCTGATCTCCTGAACCGGGTCGTCTGAACGTTTCTTCTGAACTGTAAGCTTCATGTCTTGAACTTAAAGAAATATCAGTGGAATCCTCAGCTCATCACAAAAATCTATAGAAGTCTATATCATTAGGGAATATTTTTATGCTTGTTATTATCTGCATGTCCTTCAGCTTCACTTGGTAGTTTTGTATTACTGAGCTTCCCAAAACTCACTCTTTACTCACCATTTCAGGTTAAAAGAATCGAACCAGTGCAGTTATCGACATCAGTAAAGGAGTTCCACCGGTGTTGCTTGCAGAGTACGGTGCAAGTGATTAAGGGACATGTAGTTTGTATTCTGTTTTTTTATCAGGGTCTGAAACCTGTTTTATTAATGGATATTGTTGAATTATACTTTTAATATATAATGATTAATTGAATGTGTGTTTCAAATATAAATTATTTTATGATTTTACACGCCTTAACATAAGTTATAATTTTTTCGAGATTTTTATTGTGGGTCGTTCCAATGGCCCTAATGTGACATCTCTGATCGGATTGGGTTACCCGTACCGGTCTGTGTGTGTTACATGCTTGATGATTGAAGGTACAAGCCTATCAATTTTAGTCACAAGTTCACCGACCTGCAATAAAAACAAACAATAATTCTTGAATCTCCTCTCATTTCTCATACATCATCAACAAATTGAATGAAAATGGCTTTACCTTGTCTTCAACCAATTTGAGTTGCTTGTAAAGGGTATTAAAGAGCTTATCGAAAACCGTTCTGAGCACAGTTTTAACTATTCTTTGAACTATCTCAAGAACAGGCTTCAAGAGCCCCGACTTTTGATTTAGGTTAGTGTAGAGGTTGGTGAACAACAAAACCAAATGGACATGACTACTTGCACAATCGCCGAGTATTTCAGCTTCTTTGTTTCTTCTTCAACCATCAAATTCCGATTGACTAAAAAGCAATTAGAATAAGAAGAAAAAAGATCAACTAAGAAAGTTTTACACTATAACTTAACCATGGGAAAGGAAGTGGAAATAAAAGAAATCATGAGGCAATGCTCAGACCTCCACCATGCTTCAACTTGGTAACCAAACCTTGGGTAGCCGGGATGGTTTGGGATGACACATCTTTGATGAGTCCAGTGGCAGGCTCGAAATTCCACAGTGCCGAACACCAGAAGCAACTCCAGCAGCCACTCCTGCAATCTTTTGTAATCCCTATCATTAACCATGGCCGATTCTGATTCCGATCCTGAGCTCCAGGAAGATCTGATCGCAACGGTTGTAAACATTTAGACTGAAGACAACGATAAGAAACTCATTGTGGAACATCCTGTTGTAATCCCTTTACTTGCTCAAAGAGAAACGCTGCAGCTGCTCTCTTCACATTATTGACACTCAATTCGAAAAAGATCAGAATCAGAAATTCCGGTGCTCTTGTGCCTTTAATGGTATCCCTTGGCAGTCAAGGAAGCTGCCTCAGCAATATTCAGCCTTTGTGAAGTATTTGAGAGCAAAGATAAGTTTACTGAATTAGGAGCAGTGAAGCTAATCATACAGAATATGAGTGATGGCATACTTGTTTTTGAGCTATTGAGCATTATTGCCCTTCTATGTCAACATCCAGACACCATTGATCAACCTTCGCTCCTGTCAACAATGTGCAGATACCAGGACTTAACACTCTTGGGATATCATTGGTTCGAATTGATTATGGACCTAACATGGCTCGTGCCACTGAGATTCTCATGGTTTTTGAAGGCACACTCTATGTCAGTTTCGTTTCATCCAACCCGGATAATCTTCTAATTACCAAAGTGTTGAACAAGGGGATGTGTTTGTGTTCCCGGTTGGTCTAGTCCACTTCCAGTTCAATGTGGGAAAAAGCAAGGTTGTTGCCATTGCTGCTGTGAGCGGCCAGAATCCAGGTGTTATTACAATAGCAAATGCAATGTTTGGGTCAAACACATCCATTAACACATATGTTCTTTCCAAGGCCTTTAAATTGGACAGAAAAAATGGTGGAAAGCCTGCAATCCAAATTCTGATGATACAGCAAAAATTTTGAATTCAAATTCTTTCAGAAAGTGTAACATAAAGTTGCAAATTGTTCAATGAACAGAAATAATATATTCCATTAAAGAATCTCTAAGAGAAATACAACACATTACATTCCTTATTCAATGCCGCCAAAAAGAACAAATGATGTGATCTAAAGAATCAGCCTAAGCAAGTAGTTGAAGCCATTGGTAAACCAAAACCTAAATGAGCTTGTAATAGCAGTTGTTTCCAGAGAGAAGAATTTTGTAGCCTTTGCCGCAGGGGCGCTTGAAATGAAGGTCCAAGCATTCCCCTATCTTCTCCAGTCTCACTGCTTCTTCACAATCTTCATCACCCTTTTCCTACAACAACAGCCTTAACATATTAACACCATGAAATCAGAACTTCTTTTTTATATATATACCATTTTCTTGGAAACCAAACAGAAAGTAACCTTTGGCCCTGAGAGTACATCTTCAACATCTTTTATAGTTTCACCCCACCAATTGTTCATTTCTTTCACCCTCTCCTCCATTTTTTTTCAATATCTGCCAACAAATCCTCAAGATTATTCTTTTAAAGAAACACGTGAAAAGAGTTCCAAGAAGAAGAAAACATATAAAACATACACCTTGGCAATGGAACTCTCTTCCTCGATCAATTCCACACCCGATTCTTGTGGGCTTGAAGTCCTCGACAAGGCTTAGTGGGAGAGAAAATGGGATCGCATATCGACCTTATTAAAGCAGGGGGTTTATGAGGCAATGAAGAAGAAACACTTCCTTTAGACAATGAGGAATCTTCCAAGACCTTGGCTAGTTTTGTAGGCGTCAAGGGTTCAGAGACAAAGCGGTGAAGCTGTGGGAGTGGGATCTTGGAGAAGCCAGAGAGGGAGTACGGCGTTTTGGATTTGGGTTCGGGAGAAGGGCGTTTCATTGGGTTGCATGTACAGGCGGTGCATGAATGACGGTTTTGGTGGGTGGTGGTGTTCTTGAAGTTGTCGAGGTGGAGGAATTTATGATCATCATCATCTTCTTCATGGCGTTAACTTTCAAGCTCTGGTTCTTGGGTCATTTCATTCATTGTTGATTCTTCAAGCTTTTTGATCTTTCTACCGTAATACTCGAGAGGCTGTGTTTCTTAGTTGAATAGACGTGGGAAGAGATGGAGAAGAAGATAACTGTTGAGGGTTTTTAATATGCAACTTTCTTTTGTACGGATGATACTTGAAGCCAATGAACGAACGCCCTGTCAAATTTCAAAATTCAGAAAGGGGAAAAAATAAAGGGTTTAATTCTACAAAAGTTCCTAGACTTTATTTTTTTCTCTGTCTAAACTTTTTTATTTATCAAAAAAAGTATCTTAAAAGGGTTTAATTTGTTTGAATTTAATGACTTAACTTTTAAATTATTTATATTTTAATCACTCTAATTTATTTTATTAATATTTATTTATATTTTAATCACTCTAACTTATTTTATCAATATTTTATAAAATATGACATCTTTTAAGTATTATTTTATTAATATATGATTAAAGTAAAAAAAAGAAAGGAATAAGTTGGAGAGGCGATAAGAGTGAGATCGTTAGGGTCTGAGTCGGGGTTTTAGTATATTCGCATCATGTTTAAGATTTATATTTTTGGGACAGGGTAACCATAAAACCAGCCCGTCCAGCCCCATGCCCATCCCTAGAGATCGTGAGGGCGAGGTGAACAATTTGTGATTTAAGATTTGTGGTATAATTTTAAATTTAATTTTTTATTTAAATTATATATTTATTTAAAAATAATAAATTTCATGTCACAAAAAATATTAATAAAATAAATTAGAATTTTTAAAACAATAGCAATTTGAAAGTTTAGTTAAATTAAAAATTTGTAAACTTCATATACCAAAATAGGAGTGAATAAAATTGAATAATGAATGATGTAATTTAATCATAAAAAATACTAAATATACATCAATTTTGTTAAACTTTTAACGACGGATACTAAAATGAAACAAAAAATAAACATCGATATGATTTTGAAAAAAAACTGAAAGTTGATAAAAAAAAACATTGGAATCTGCTCAGTCCGGAATTTTGGGTATTTTGAAAGGCCTAAGCTTTGGTTAATCGAAATGATGAGCATTGGAATTTATTTTATGTTTAAATTAGATAGATTTTATGAATTATTCTAACTTCAATCGCAAAATCTAAATACCTTTTAAGTCCATTTGAAATGTGATTGAAAGAAACAAGTGTCTTTTCCTATAAATATAATATAAAAAGTTGAAGATACCTGCGTTATACACACTAAAATGCTTCATATCCATAACTAATTCAGAATCATTTGTTTTTTCACCAGAAGTTCTTTGGTGCTGGTATACTTCTTAACCCTCCATCTTTCTGATGAGGGACAACTGTATTAGAGAATCTCCTAGACTTGTTGATCTTCATCTTAACACTGGGAACCTTGCGTGCCAATGACTGCCATATCATCTGCACCGCGTCCCCGTTTCTCGCCGGATAATGGTATTCGAACAATGGCTCAACCTCTTTCAGCTTCTCCCACATTTGAGTCCATTCTTCCTTGCTTATGCTCCTAATGAGTTCTATAAGGTATTTTTCTTTGACAGCATCCGAAGTACGAACAAAAACGCAGAATTCCGAGTAGTCGAGAACGTCTTCGTAGGGGAGCTCGATGTCGTCGCTGATAATAACGGGAACACAATGGCTGGCAATGGCGTCGAAAAGGCGGCTCGACGATGGAGTGTCCCCTGCTATGTTTAGGCAAAACTTGGATGAGTGCATTCCTTGGCTGGCTTTGTTGACTCCATCGTTTTTTAGACTTCCGAATGAGAAATGTACATCTTCTTCATCTTTTAGAAGATAAAATAATTCTTGTCGAGCAAATCCACCCTACAAAAACCAACCCAGCTATAGGAGACAAACAGGTAAGCATCACACAATGGACTAAGATGGGGATACTTACATCTTTCCTGTAAATGGATCCTTGGAAGAACAGCAAAGTTTTACGGCTATCGAAATCGGAAGTATCATTGGCATAGCTTTTGACCATATGTCGGTATGGTGCGATCACGTCTTTATCGACATTCGCAATGTTCAACGGATACCTACCGAAATCTGCGAGTACGAAAATTGCAGGCCAAAGTTGCATCCTAGCATCTATCATACTATTGGGATGGTGAGACAAAATAACATGGTCTCTTCCACCTGACATCTTCCATTCCTTTTGTGCGGTCAGCCACTTCACCAACTTGGCCTGCAATACCTTGTTCCAACTCTTTGTCTGGTGCGGATTCACCTTCGAAAACCGATTGTAACTCAAGGACGAAAAGAAGGGTACAAATATAAGATCAGCTTCACTGGAATTCTGCACTCTGATTACAACTCTGTTGTTTGGATTGTCAGAAATTTCTGATGCTAAGAGGTCCAATGTGAGCCAATATTCTATACTATGTTGCAAGTTCAATCCGCCGGGATAAGGCGGGATTTCGGTTAGAATATCGGGCCAAACACGACCACCTTGGGGCTTCCAATTCAAGAGTCCGAAATGAAACTCGGGGTCTAAATCATACATGAAAATCTTGAGCGGTTCTTTAACAATGCCAATGCAAGTCACTGCCCCATCTTTATCTTGGAACCCTTGTTCTGTCTTTGGAAGTCCTTCTCTTCCTCCTCCATCGCGTTGTTTCTCGTTGTTCACAAGAATCGTTCGACTTAATCCGTTCGAAGATCGAAAGACGGTAGGAAGCTTAGGAATCGGCAACGATTTAGGATCGAATGATCGAGGAGGAAGGCCTGTGGAACGCAACAGAAACAACCAGGACAATACAAACAACATTATGATCACCAAAAACAAGCCGAAGAAAGATTTTCTTGCCATGGAAGAGCTCTGCTTCTCGGCCATGGTAATGTATAAATACAGTAAACCAGGAACCAAAAGTGATTCAAATTACTATGACCATTAAGACACTTTGTTTCGAAACAAGAACACAACCAATGTAGAAAACAAAGCTACCCCAGAGTTAAAAAAACACCAATCCTTGTGAGAATTGTTGTGGGGGTGGATTGATGATCAAGAAAATGAAGAAACAATATCGAAAAAAAATTGAAAAAGGTTAAGTGGAAGTATATGTAACGCTTTGAAAGTTGTGATTTTTTGTTTCGGCTTTGTCTCACATTCTCAGGGAAGAGGTTAAATCAAAAGAGCAGAGGGGAGATTGAAACGTGGGAATAGGCCTTTCTGAAGAACCGGGCTTTCTTTTTATTTTAGAATTACTTGTTTATTTTATAAATAATTAATTATATTAATTGTAAATTTTGTAAAGTGCTTTTATTTTAAAATAAAATTATAATTTACGAATATATATATATATATATATATATATATATATATATATATTTAACATTATATTTTTTATGAAAGAAATTCATTTAATTTCAATATTAATGAATTTTAAAACTAGTTTAATTTCCGGTATAAATACAAGTTTAATTAAAAATTTAATTCTTTTTATTATGTACCATCAAATGCTTTAATGAAAGAATTTTTTTCTCCAGAAAGAATTTTAATGAAATTAATACTTATGAAGTAGGTTAATTGAAATAACAAAAATATTAGTAATTAAACTTTAAAAATATGAGTATTTTGTTATATAAAGGGTTATTACATATAACTACATAAATAAATTAGATTAAATTAATAAAATTTTAATCATTCAAATAATTAAATAAAGTTGAGAGTTAAAAACGATTTTTGATGACATTTTTTGCTGTACTAATTTGTTTTCTAGGTTATTTTTAAATTAATAATATATTATTTATAACAATCAATAATGAATAATTTTAATCATTCTCATATTAGAGGTGGATTTATTTTATTCTTAGGACCCTCAAAACCAAGGTAATTTTATTAAATCCAAATAAATATATTAAATTTCATTTTAATTTTTCTTCTTTGATTATCAATATGTCTTAATTACCCTATCCTATAAACTTAATTTTTTTTTAAAAAAAATAACAGTATAAGGTGATCACAATGTAATATATGTTCAGAATCTTTTTTAACCATTAACAAAGCATGAATATCCTACAAATGCAATTGTTCGAATTCAGGTCCTATAAGAAAGATAACACTCCTTTTAAATTTTAACGACTAAAACCACTTGATGAATAAACTGAATTTTTTAATCTAAAGTAATTACATGTTTTTTAATTAATTTAAAGTAAGTATAAGGCAATATATGTTCAAAGATAACCTTAACTTTTTGACATTGAAGTCTCATACCCCTGGCATTTATTGTGCTCGAACCCGAGTCCTCAAGAATAACTACAATTCCTTTGTCATGAAAGTCACTTAGTTCGTACAAAGTAATTACAAGTTAAACTGAAAAAGAACGTACTAATCTTGATTTAATTTAGATAAGCTTACACGTTACAAACAACGTTAAATGTATTAATAGTTTATTTTTTTTGTTTAACGTTTTGACTAATTATTGAAACACATTTATAAAATAAAATCCACGGTAGTTAATAAAATAGGGCTGGCATTAAAAATTGATTTAACTTTGAGATTACATAAATGAGAAAAATAATTATAATGTGATAATAATAATAATAAATAATAATACTTTTATGAAATGAGTATATAATTATTTCAAGTCTAATATTATAAATTATTAATAGAATCTATATAAATACAAAATATTTTAAAGACGCTATGTAATATATTTTTTAAGATCCAAGTAGAGAATAGAGATTGACTCAATATTACATTTTGAATATTTCATAATTTATATAAAATAAAATATTTACATATTAAAATTTATATAAATCTATTTGCTTTGAGGTAGTTGTGGATATATGTATATACACACACTGGCAATCACATATAAAGGATGAACTTTCAAAATTCCATGGTTATTGTAGTAGGTTGAGTACACCAATCGTATGCTTAAATAATTTGATGTGAAATTTTATGTTAATAAAGAATCACGTGGAGGCATCGCCATGGTTTCAAAAACATTTTAACTGTTAGGTTATTCACGTTATATGTCCCAACATTATCAATTGAATTCTAAATTGATCTTTAAATTTGAAAATAATCTAATTATAGACATTAATTTTCGTCTTGATTCAAATCACAATTTAAATGTAACGAATGTTCTTGACTTACTTTCTAAAAAACTTTGATCCATTAAATCGATCTTCATAAATAAGGTGAATATTCGATCAGGTCGAATGTAAAAAGATTTAGTTAGTCTAGTTTAAGAGTATCATTTTATCATTCAAACTTCATTCGAAATGTTTTGAAGTTGAGTCTCATTCCTATCTTATATATTTAAGTTCTGAAAATTATTTGTCAACACTCGTTTTTCGTCCCATTTTTGTTATTGTTGTTGTTATTATTATTATTATTAAATTTTATTTTTATTCCTTTCAGGCTGTACAACAGGCCCAATCGGACCCGAATTACAAAGGGTCATCTGACCCAAACCCCAGGCCCCAAATACAAATTATAGCCCAAGACCCGAGGCCTATATCGAACCCAAATCTCGATTAGGGTTTTACCCTATCTCCCCAACCACCTCCAACATCAGCTGTTGGATATGGATCCATCCAACGACCCAGATCGCCTACAGCTTAGGGTTTCAACCCTAAAAAAATTATATCAGTCGCCGCCACCAAATCCCATCTTTTGGATATGGGAGATATCCAACGATCCCGATGAGGTTCTGCCGCTACGGTCACAGATGCCCAATCTCAGGCCACCTCCTTGCTGCACCAACCCCGACCACTAACACTACCACCAACCATGCGCCGAGTCCCCTACCATGTAAGATTACCCACATCAGCAAGGCAACAAAGACCACACGCAAGAGCCATTTCAAATTTTTATTTATTTTAATTTGTCCATGTAGTTTTAATTTACTTAATTTAGTCCCCATGTTTTATTTATTTTTATTATTTGTAATTTTAGCACTTAATATTGAAAATGCTCATTTTAGTCACTTATATACTTTATTTTGTTTTAATTTGGTATGTTGGTATGCTGGTTTATGTTTTAGTCATACTTTTATTTTAATTTTAATTTTTGCAATTTGCTTGCATATTAGTTCATTTTAGTCCTAATTAATTTTGTATGATACCCTCATAAGCATCACATAATTCAATCGAAATAAATTACGTAAGGGTAATATTCGATCATTTTAATATTGTCGTAAAGTGACTGTCTTAACGTATAAAGTTACTTTCGATGATTTTAAAATTAAAGTCTATCTCATTTAGTGACACAAATTAAATCAAATTTATTTTAAATTTTGGGGATTAGGAAAAAGATCATGTTCTTTTAATTATATTCATCGAGAAAAGACTGTTCTATCGAATCTAAGGTTTCGTCTCGAGATATTTAAATAATTGAACATCCTTATTCTCATTAAATATTGGTAAAATAAATAAATAATTACTTGCTTAATACGATTTTAATTTGTTTTATTTTTGCATGTGTTTTCCAATAGATTTTCAAAATAATAACAAATCGATATCAAGAATAGTAATACCTTTTTATTTTGGTCTGAGTGATAAATGACTGCTTTAAGGTATGAGAGGTCATTTATTCTCGATTGAAAATCATTATATATTATCGTTTTCACTCGAATCAATATTAAACTTTAAGATGAAATAGTAATATCTCTTTATTTCAATTGGAATAATAAATGACAGTTTTAATGCACAAAAGGTAATTTATTCTCAATTGGAAATAATTAAATATTATCATTTTCACTCTTAAAATTATTTTGGGTGTTGTTATTTTGAATTAATAGTGAACTTTAGAATGTAATTTTAATATTTCTTTATTTCGATTGGAGTAAGAACTGATTGCTTTAAGGTATGAGAGAGCGATTCTTCTCGTTAGGAAATAATTAAATATTATTATGTTTTGTCCAAAAATTCAAAGAATATTGTTTTTAGGGGATCTTAAAATAAATTAGACTCGAACTTGTAAATTTAATTGCAAAGAAAATTAATTAATCGACTAGGTACCGATTTAGGGCGTTGTGGGGGTGCTAATCCTTCCCCGCACGTAACTGACTCCAATACTCGAATTTTGGTAACGAAGACCGCAAGTTTTTTGTTTTAATTAAAGTTAATATTTTATTAAAATGACAAATACGTTTTTGGGTGCCTAATCACACCCTAATCAAAGATTGGTAGCGACTCCTCGAACCACATTTTATCATTAACCGATAGCCAAATAATTATTTCGAAACGATGCCCCCTTTCCCCATTCGGAAAAAACCGTTTTGACAGCTTTGAGACTGCGTTGGGGACTTTTTTTAGAGAGTCAGACAATTAGTCAATTAATTAATTGTCTTTGCAATAAAAATTACGAGTTCGCTCTAATTTGATTTTTGATCCCTTGTGTGGTTTAAATAAATTTTTCACTAGTAATTTAATTAGCCACTAAATAATTGTACTAATTTGTTTGCTAATGTTTTTAGAGTAAATAATTGTTCAAGGTTTTGAGTTTTCTGTTTGATGTTGTTTGCTTTGTTTTCGCTTTTCCTCACACATTACACAACTGCATTTGTATAACATTAGCTAAAACCCTTCTCCGTCCTATTTAAGTAGAAGTGAGAAGCTACTCCCTCGTGTGGTTTTCACCTCCGTAAGGGACAATGGATCGCTCATGGGGCTCACACCTTATGGTCCTCGTGATGGTTTTCACCTCCGTATGTACATAAGGAGGTGTGTCCCCTAGAATTGAACTCGATCTGAAAGCCTGTGATGGGCCAGGATTGAGGGTTTGATAGCCCAAGGGAGCATCGACAAGGATAATTTGAGGACCTCTTACTTTAGAACTAAACCCAGCATGTAGTAAACTTAAAACCTAGATAGAGCCTTAGCAAAATCATAAGAATCCTGTGAGGAGAGTACACAAGGAAAAACATGTTTGAGTCTTTTAATTTTTGCAGTGTAATTTTAATTCCCGAATAAATGTATGCGAACTAAAGATCATGCGGTTAGGTTTATTTATTTTTTGAATAAACATGTGAACTAGATGGCATAAGGTTAGGATTTTCTATAAACGAAGCAGAAATCCAGTTTGGGTAGGATCTACTAAAGCATGATTGGGTAGCTAGCACGTGGGGTAGGTTTTATCGATAAATTATATTATATCTGATTAATTCATTTATGATTACTGACTAATTTTCTCTTGTCCTTTTGTTTTATTTTGTTATCATTTTGCATTGCACTATTCATCGTATTGGTGTTGATTCGTGACCGATGTTCATATAGAAGGCTAGTAATATGGAACGAAGTATTCAAAAAGAGGTAGAGGATAATGTAGACTTTCTGAGATGGTCCGATCTGATTAGGTACTCTCACATCAATGTCCATCAAAATGATTTGTACTAGCTGAAAGAGATTTGGGGAAAGTGGGAAGCATCCGATAAGAAGTATTTTATCAACTCTATGGTGACATCTCGTATCTCATAGGTGCTCCGATTGACCGATATTTGTTTAGAGATCTGGTACAATTTTGGAACCCTGCCTATAGTTGTTTCACTTTTGGCTGAGTCGACATGACACCTACTATAAAGGAATATCATACCTTGATTTGATGTCCAAGATTCTAAGCAGAAAATGTGTACACCAAGCTGCCAAATACTCATTCCTTCAAGAAGAAATTTCTTCTGATGACTGGTATGAGTGAAGAGTGGTTAATAAGAGGCATAAATAATAAGGGGAATAGTGAGTGCATTAATTGGATCGCTCTAACAGAAGTGATTCACCATTATCCCAACAGAAGAAAGAAAACTGACATGTTTGCTCTAGGTATTTATGGGCTAGTCATATTCCCGAAGGTTCTGGGCCACGTAGATGTATCAGTGGTAGACCTGTTCGAGAGACTGGATCGACATGTGGATCATGTTCTAGCTATCTTGGCAGAAACCTTCCACTCCCTGAACTCTTACAAACGAGAAAGAGAAGGACACTTCATAGGGTGCATACCACTGTTGCTAGTATAGATCTTCAGCCACTTTAAACACGTCAAGAGGGCACCCGGTCGAGTCTTCTTAGAAGAATTTTTGCCTTTTAATGATTTCCTTTCTTGAGAGTGGTCTGGGGGGTTCACTCAGGATAAGTGGATGGTTATTTTCAAATATATCCGAGAAAATGATATTTTGTGGTTTGCTTCGTAGAATATCTCCTCAGACATACTGTATAGGTATGGAGAAAGAGATTGGGTTCTGTTGCCAGGCATAGGGAGTTCTGTACGGTATGCTCCATTAATGGTTTCTAAGCAATATGGGTCGAGGCAGTTCATTCTAATAATTTGGTATTTATCCGGGTCTGAGTTTGCATTCAGAGGAGAGCAGTATAATAATAAAGTCAAAGGGGTTGCTGATGCATGGAGGCACACTCGTAGAGTAAATATATTTGCCTTCAACTTAAGGTTGTCACAAGATTACGAGGAGTAGAGGAGCAATAGAATTAATGATCATATCCCGATGGTCAATCCTGAAAATACTTAGCCTATAGAAGAACATCTCAGAGTGGTATCATCTCCGCTAGAACAAGCCAGGCTTGATTTTGAGGCAAAAAGGAAATAGTGGAAGGAGACGTTACAGAGATTGATGGATGATTCGCACCAGAGAAGTTTAGAAATCGATATCCAAAAGGGTCGAGCTAACTAGATCAAAAAATTAGACAAACAACTCATATTGGACTTCGTTGATCTCTATTTATCTTACCAGCGAATGGTCAAGGCTTATATGATCACTAGCTAAATTAAGTTTCATGCTGAAAGGAGACAAGAAGTAGCAGGTTTAAAATGAGAAGTTGGATAAAGCAGCAAAGAGCTTAAGCAGAGTTGACATTAGCCAAAGCTACTTTCAAGAGAAAATAGTGCGCTAGAGCAACAGCTACAAGAGAGTCGGGCCCAAAATGAGAAATTGAAAGATAGAATCTTGAGTTTAGAGATAGCTTTGAGATGGTATCAGAGTTGAAAAAACAGTTCAAACCGTGTGGAAGTCAAAAACTTGAAGAAACGTGTGAATCAACTCGAAGCTATGGTTCAAGATTTTCAGATAAGGGAAAATGAAATGCCAATAGTCCCATATGAAGGAGTTATATAGTGGCTCCATCGTTGGGAACATGTTCAGTGGAGAGTTAAGCAAAGGGATAACCTCATCGCAAGCTACCTGCAATATGCTCAAGGAGTGACTCAGCACTTGGTTGACTTATGATATGAAGCTGATGTTGTAAGTGAAGGGTTGGAGCCCGAAACTAAAGAAGCTTAGAGGATTTTAGATTTACTAGGGCACAACAAAAAATTAGGAGAGATAGCTCAGATTTATCTGTGATATGTTTAAGCCTTGTAACCAAACTTCGTTTCTAATATAAAAAGTTGTTCTGAGAAATCGTTCCAGAATCGACACCTTGCATTGAATCTTCATTGCATTTACTTTTCGCATTGCATTTTATTCATTAATAGTTATATTTTTCACATTCATTACTAAAATAAAATATTAATAAAAGGATGTTGTGGTAGAATTTTTTAGAGCCATCTGAGAGTTACTCGGAGCGTGTTTCTGGAAAGATTAAAAGTGATGAATGAAATATTAGTTCGTGTTAGAAGGATCAAAAGAATCCAAGAGCAACTCATAGAGACCAAACAAGAAATGATTGATGAAGCAAGAAAGTTCCAAGTTGAATCCAAGGAACAAATGTCCAAGTTGATGAGCATGATGATTACAATAATATATGGGGAGAAATCGTTAGAGGACCATATTATGCAAGAAAATATGAAGGCTTCGAGTGAAAATCTCAATATTAGTAGCACAACCAATGCGGTAATAACAAATGATCAAGAACTTGTTGGGGAATGTGGTAATCCAAGTCAACTCCAAGAATCGTGTATGATTCCAGAAAATGTGACAGGGATCATGTTGGGAAAGCAAAAATTGAGGCTGGAACTTCTTACACGAAAGGAGTCTGACTCAAAGAAGAGAGGCAAAGAGGAAGTTCAAATGCCATTAAAGAAGACTAAAAATAATATAAAGAAAAAGAAGAGGGTACCTCTTGTTCCGATTCCAAGGTCATATTCATACTTGTTACCCTTTTTCTTCAAAAGTCAGCTCTTAACGCCTATTCCTCCAAGGCCTTACACTTATTTGCATCCAGATTGGCAAGGCATAAAAAATTCATACAGTTATCATTATGGAGAATTTTTCCAATCTACGGAATGTTGTGCAATCATGAGAATAAAAGTTCAAAACCTCATCACAGAAAGGTTGTTATCTTTGAAGATAGAAAAACTAAGCTCCCAAGAAGCTCAAAACTTGTTGTTGAAGGGAGATCTGCAAACCAATGTCTCTTCCAAGACGTTAGTCAAAAGTTAAACCATCAAAATGAACATCTCGATGATCATTCACAAGGTCTTCAAGATGGTCATAATAATGACATGGAGAAAGTGAGGTCAAAAGAGCTTCTACTTATTTTTCCTTCATTTTCGTACAGCAAGTTATATCCCAAGTTACTCCAAGCCTAATTGAATATGCCACATCTGGCTAAGCCTCTACTACCTCCTTATCTGAGTTAGTATAATGAAAAAGTTTCTTGTGAATATTACGTCGGAGCCCGAGGACACTCTATCGATAATTGCAACAACTTCAAGCGACAAGTCCAAGATATTTTGGCTCATGGGGTTATAGAGGTGGATGTTAACAATCAGTCTATTTTGGTCAGACAATTGGGAGTTAGTGCTCAGAATAGAGTTGATGGGGTCGAAACGAGTGAAGTGCATACAAAAGAGAGCGTAAAAAGGAAAAGAGCAAAATCAAGGAATGTGAGGTATGTGAGGCATAGATAAAGGATTCAACTCTCGAGAACTCTCTAATGCTAAAAAAGGATAAAAAATGGGAAATGATGAGAAATAGTTAAAGGAGAGGTAATGTGAGACTGGTCGTAAAAGATGTCTTGGAAAAATACGACCCTCAAGGTTTTTCAAGTGCCTATTTATGACTTGTCAACCCCTTTAATCAAGAGTCAATACCTCACTCCAAGGCCTTTGAGCATGAAGACTAGCCCATTTACTTATGGCTATAACTCAAATAGTGCTTGCGATTTTCATCTAGGGGCATTGGGCCATCACACTGACAAGTACATACCATTGATGGAAGAGATAGAAAAGCTCATTGAAAAAATAGTCATGAAAAGAGAAATGATCGAGAGAAGGGGAGCCAGTGAAGGTAAAGACTCTAATCCAATTGGACACCCACCATTCTAGGAGAAATAGGGCATTATAGCTAAACAAGTGCAGGTCGTTATCCACCACAGTCGCACCTTATGTTTGTAACATCTTATTTGAACTTGTTTTTTTATATTTTCTCAGCTTTCTTTTTTTGTAAGGATATTTAAATGAATTTATGTTAATTTAAATATGGCGAGCATTGAATTAAATTTTCCATCTTAAAGTTCTTTGAATATAAATTGAATTAAAAACTCCTTAAATAATTAGAGTTATGTATCTTTGACAAACAAGATTGAAAACTGATAAAACAATGACCCTTGACCTTACCCTAGAAGATACACTCGAACACCATACCCTTCTCTTGCAGGGACCAAACTAGCTTTCTCTCTGCATAAAGAAACAATTAAGGGCTTGGCATTCAGGTATGTAAGGATGTGGTGAGACATCTTGCACATAATATTGCAAAGTTGATTGGTTTCTACTTTTGTTGATGATGTTCAATGATGATCATGATCTTCACAGATGGAATAGTCGAGTAGGTAAATCTAGTTTACGTCAGTTGCTTTGAAAGTGAACTCTAATGACGAGATTTTATGACTTTCAACAACACCTGAACTATAGCAGGTTCTTCATGACAATCTTAAGAAATGGAATATGTATACCCAGAATGTAATTATATATGTATAAAATAAATCTTGAGTTATTCCTCTAGAGCAATTTGGTTAAACACCCTGGTTTTATGGATAGATTCAGCTAGCCCGATAAAGGAGATTATAATATATATTTTTACACACACACACACACAATAAAGCTGAATTCAACTAGCCTAACAATCTCCAATTAGATCGAATTTACTAAATAAGGAGTTTCGGTAACGATGAACTAAGGGAGTTAAGGAACACCTGTTATAGCCAATTTCACACGAGCACTCAAGAATTTCATTTTTAGACCAATATTTCTGCATTTCCTTTGTTAGAGGAGTTTACAAAGCTTGAACAAATGGAAGATTTCAGAGAACTGAAATAGAAGTGTTATAAAAGATTTAGCAATTGATTATGCTAGTTGCGACATTTTGTTTGAACCCAATTAAATGCCAAGCCAAAAATAAGGGGCATGTGTAACACTCCAAATAGCATGGACAAGAAGAAGAAATTGATGTCTGAAACCTTAGAAAATAGGAAGCCAACCTGAAACCAACCTATGAATTTTGACATTTGTCAAAGAGCTATAACTTTGAAAATATTAAAGAGTTGTTGATTCTTTCGATATTTTATGAACTAATGTTTATGGTTTGCTTCAATTGTGATCCTGAATTAAGGGGAAATACTTTACAAAGTTCTTTCATTATTTCATTTCTGAAATAAAAGAAAGGAGAAAAATATTTCAAACAGGACAGTCTCAAATGCGAAAGGTTCTTGAAGCAGGTGAGGCACATTCTGCCTCTATTAGAGAAAAAGAATAAGTAATGCAGAATAAATAAACATTCCAAAATCTTGAAAGCAAATGGTTCGAAAGATCATAATGACTGGAGGATATAACTTGTAACGCTTCCTCGTGACATTGTCTATAACCCTCGATAACCCATCGAGAAGAAGATGATTGCCTTATTTAAAAGGGGCACATATCCCAACTCATGGCAGAAGGCAAGAGTGAGAGCAGTCAAGGATGAAATTTTAGCACCCAAATGGGGTTGGGTCATGAAAATACTCAGTTTAGGGCATTACCAGAAATCCAGATCATGTGGAGATAACAAGGTTCAGACCGAAACGATATTGAGAATGAGTCTCACAACTTGAAGTTTCAGGGCGAACCCTGAATATGAGTAGAGCTTACCTTATAAAGCATATCAGTCAAACATCAACTAATGGCAGAGTCTCGAAAAATAACTCTGATAGTGCATTTGAGTCAAGGACAAAAGGGGCATCAAGGTCATATTAGAATTCAAGAAGCATCTCTTACGAGACTTGAACACATATAAGAGGCAAGGAAGATAAAAAGACCACAAGATGATTGGGCATATCATCAGAAGTTGTAAGCTTAAAATTATGAGTTGCTACACCGATATCTAAGTAAACCTTAGAGTAGAGTGATCAAGAGGAAGAAGACATGGTTCTCTATTTTGGAGTCAGATGAAAATTAAATCAACATTTGTTCATGCATAAGAACATCATTTGCATAAAAGAAAATGCATTACATTGCATTCACATTTTACACATAAAAGTATGGTTTTTAAAGATCTTCCAATGAAAATAGAAGATTCATGATGTCCAAATCCCAACAAGTGAAGGCTAGAGTTTAAACCTCAAATGCAGAGAATTATATTTAGGGAGACAGACTCCAATATTCGGTGCCTGCTAGACAAACTCTCATGTGAGAAATCATTTTCCAAAGATTATCCTCCCAAGTCTTTCAGGTATGATGTTTTCGAATCCTCAAACATGTACTAACAAAGTTTCATGTTTAGGGAGGCAAACTCCCATATTCAGTGGCTATGAGACAAGTTTTCACAAGAAAAATCAATTTTCAAAGATTATCTTGAAATCCAAATCTTCAAGTATGATTTCTCAATTTTTCAAACATATACTAACAAGTGGTAATGTTTAATTTGAAGATTTGATATTTTCGAAGACAAAAGAAGCGAATGAACTCGATTCAATCTTTCCTGAGTGACAGTGGAATGAATCAACGTCCCCATATCTGATTTTCCCTCAAGAAAAAATGGAACAGATCCACTTATTCCAAGATTTGATATTCTTTAAGTAACAATGGAACAAGTCGAATTCGATTCAATCTTCTTTGAGTGACAATAAATGAATCAATATCCCCAGATCTGATTTTCCCTCAAGAAGCGGAACAAATCCATCTCTTTCAAGATTTGATATTCCCTGAGTAATAGTGAAACAAGTCGAACCCGATTCAATCTTCCTTGAGTGACAGTGGAATGAATCAACATCCCCCATATTTGATTTTCCCTCAAGAAGAAGGAGAACATATCCCTCTTTTTCAAGATTTGATATTCCCTGAGTAAAAGTGGAACAAGTCTGCCTTAATTCAATCTTCATTGAGTGATAATGGAATGAATCAATGTCCTGAGATTTGATTTTCCCTCAAGAATAAGTGGAACATAACCCTCTTTTTCAAGATTTGATATTCCCTAAGTAATAGTGGAACAAGTCTTCCTCGATTCAATCTTTCATCAGTGACAGTGAAATGAATTAACATCCCCATATCTGATTTTCCCTCAAGAAGAAGTGGAACATGTCCCTCTCTTTCAAGATTTGATATTCCCTGTGTAACAGTGGAACAAGTCTTCCTCAATTCAATCTTCCCAGAACAACAATGAAATGAATTAACGTCCCAGATCTGATTTTCCCTCAAGAAGAAGCGGAACAGATCCCTCTTTCTCAAGATTTGACATTCCCTGAGTAACAAAGGAACAAGTCTGGCTCGATTCAATCTTCCCTGAGCAATAGTGGAATGAATCAACGCCCCCAGATATGATTTTCCCCCAAGAAGAAGCGGAATAAATCCCTCATCATATTCCAAAGCATGAAGTTGATCGGACAAAAACTCAATGTCTTTTCGTCTTTGCCCTATTATTGTTGACACAAGAATGGGCAAAGAGGGGTAGTTGTCGACACTTGTTTTTTGTCCCATTATTATTATTATTATTATTATTAAATTTTGTTTTTATTTCTTTCAGGTTATACAGTAGGCCCAATCGAGCCCCACTTACAAAGGGTCATCTGACCTAAACCCTAAATACAAATTCTAGTTGAAGACCCGAGGTCCAAATAAACCTAAAACCCGGCTAGGGTTTTACTGCTTATGAAGCCCTAAACAAAAAATGTAATGAGGGTTCTCCCCCTTTCAGTTTCCATAAAGCAATAAAAATAAAACGTTCAAGGTATATTTTTATTTTTCTTTTATTTTTTGAAATAGCATAGGAAAAAGAAAAACTTTGCATGTAAAATCGAAATGTGAGGGTCGTCGATTCATCTTAGCGACGGTCAAAACACGAAAGAACCAAAGAATCGAGAGGTGTTTAGGGATGTTTAGGGTAGTTTTAGCCTAAGGTAGGGGTCTATAGTTGTAGATCTAGACTCGAGGGTTATTTTGGTTTGTTTTGGGATTTTTGGTAACCGTGTGCAACGATCGGAGTGGCAGCCGAGGGCGAGTGAGGCGTCCGACAGTTGGCCGACCGAGGGATTTTGAGAGGAAAAAATGGAGAAAGGGTTTTATTTAAGAAGCCAGTTAAAATGAGTGAAAAAATAAGTTTGTATTTATAGAGTAAGTTTAGGGAAATTACGCTCATGTCCTCTAACTTAAACTTGTTTTTACAAAAAGGTCATATGTAGGGACCTGATTGATAATTTACACATTTATGTTTATGCTTTGTAATTTTTGGTTTAATTATTGTTTAGTCCCCCTAGTTTAGCCGTTTTTTTTCATGTTAGTCACTTGTAGAGACTGTTTTTTGTGATTTACCCATTTTTATGCATGTTATATATTGTTAGGGTTATTTTCAGTTTGGTCCCTATATATTTATGCGTGTTTTGAATTTTGGTCATGTGTAGTGGCTTTTTAATTTTTTTTTTAA